TATTCTATTTTCCCGACTTTTAGAACTTTTTGGTATTTGTATATCGAAAGGTTTAGAAAAATCATGAATAATAGATATTCTATTCGATGCCATCATTAATACCGGATTTTGTTTTAATTTTTACACCTGATGTTTACCACCATATTATGTTCCCTTAGCGACAAATGTATTTATCTGATGTGATTTATACTACCTTTTTTGTCACCTGCTTTATAGCCTTTTTTTGTCCATACCTCAATTTCAATTCCAACTCCCTTCAGCTGATATTTCTTTCCAATTTCTGCCTATGTACTCCTGCTACTTACAACTATCTCTAATCTCTAAGACCACTAGCTAATGCTAATTGGTCAAACTTTCTACTAATATTAAATTGATTTTTCCTTACTTTTTCTATGAAGTAATCTACTTAAAAAGGCAGCATTTCCACATTTCCAGTTATTATTTATCTTTGAATATAATCCCAACTGCAAAATATCCTGACCATTCCTATTCCAAAAAATATTCCATCAAACTCGGCTTTAACCTTCCCAATATAACCCTGAACAGTGATATAACATTCTCGTGACTGGTATAAGGATTGAGATCAGTAGCATATGCTGATTGGAGAAACTTTCTAACCAAATTTTTAGTTTATCTTTCTCTATGGAGTAATTTATTTGAAAGAGCAGCATTTCTACATTTTTAATACTGCTTCTTCATTCTTTTAAACATAACTCCAAATCTAATATATTCTGACCAGCCTTATTCCAAAAAATAATGCATCAAGTCCATCATCCTCGGCTTTAAGCTTCCTAATATGAACCTGCTAGGTGCTGGGCAGTGATGAAACATTCTCTTGGTTGAGATGCGGATGTCGATTTAGATAATGCCTGCGAAATTATTAATTTTTAACATTTTAATCCCGTCAGGATTACTGTGACTGCCACGACTGCTGTGGCTGCTACTGCATTACAGAATCTGATTTGTAATTATATCATAGCATTAATATCCATTTCGATATCAATGTCAAAACTCTCTTGAGAATATTTGCTTGTTTAGTAGTAGTAGTCAATAATGCGGACCCATGCGGTTTCAACGGCTTGTTATTTTAGGATATTCGCAGACTAAAATTCAACCGCAATAATTACGCTACGCCATTGAATATGAATAGAAAAGGGGTAAGGGTAGGGAACGAGTTTGAATGAAATTTATTAGCTCGAAGGAGGGTAATAATATAGTATTACTGAAATAAATTGTCGCATTATATGAGGGATTATTGTTTAAAGCAGTTGGGAAATTGTGTTTAAATTCAAAACAAGCACTCCGACGGACGTATTTTGTTTGGGAATAGAGGCGTGCTTTAATGAAAAGGAAATCTGGAAATTCATTAAACTTTGAACGATGAAAGATACTATAATTAAAAGTTTAGTTATATACGGCGTGCTTCGAATTTATACACACATTTCGTTCAGTAAAAGAGGAGGGATCTCCATTCGCCTTTATGTCCTACTTTGGACATTGGTCTTACCAATTTTTCTTTAACTGTTTCTATTATGCTGTGTCCCATTCTTTAGAGTGTACTAAGAAATATAATATAATACAAAAAAAGTTATAGTCAAAACCACAACCAACATCATATATGTAACACCCAATATAACCGAAGGAATAAGAACTTCAGGTCAAATTAAGAGGAAGAAAAGAAGAACCACCATCTTTTAAAACAATAATATACGTATGTCATTATTAGCACTAGTAGGAAACATCATCATTTTACAAGAAGTATAAATTGCTTTGTAAAAGTTATTAGAGGCACCTATTGTACAATAATTCAACTAACGATTTTATTTGTTGGTCAAATACTATCTTATTAATGACAATTCTGTTAGGCATTCCAAACAAAATGGTTGCTTATTTTAAATGACAGGCACATGATAGGTTATAATATGGTAACACTGTGGGCCTGGTGCAAGGTTCGTGGACACCACGGTGGCCTCATCACGGTTGCTAAGGACGCAGTGACGTCACGGAATGAGAAATTGAGTTGACAGAAAATATTTTACTTGGTGTATATTAGTTTTTTAAAAAATCTTATATTTTATTGTTATTTAGTGGTTTTTATATTTTTATTTTTAAATTTTGTTCTGATGTTAGAGTTTTTATAATATCGGTAGTGTGATTTTTTGAAAGACAAGCTATAAAACAGCAAGGAAAAATCATGTAATGATTTCTATCAAATTTTAAAAGAATTACTTTTATTTGAATTATAAAGATAAATATTATTGTGTGAATGGTTTATTTTAAACATTTTGGATTATGGTACGGCCTAAGAGCTGAATTTGGATCACACTTTATTTATATCATGAAATATTTTGAAATGTTGGCAAGTCTGTAGCATAGCCGTAGTTACGGACAAAAATCGTTAGAAGTTATAAAAGGACCGAACCTAAACTGAAATTAAAGGCTTATAGTAAGATTTTCGAGTATTATTCTGAAAATATCATTAACTATTATTAAATTAATTGCAGCTCTGTCCACCCTACATTTAAAAGCAGACGACATAGTTTCTTACAAGTATTAAACACAACAAAAAACAAACAAAGTCAAAGGGCTTTACTAAAAGAACCTACATTATTGAAAAAAAGGATTTTCTCCAGGAACTTTTTAGTAAAAAGTAGTTACAAATAATTTTATAGAAGAAAAAAAGGACCCATTGGACTTTAGAAGAAACATAAAATGTATATTGTTATCAAAAATAAATAAAAAAATATATTTTGTCAGTTTCTAGGATGTATGAACATTATAATATACTTAAAAAAAACAATAACACAACAACCCAGTTTTATTACAATAATCTATAAATATAGGTACCAAATTAGAGAAAAACAGTTTTATCTATTGTTTATATACATATAATACACATAATATATTACATATACTTAAATAAATCATCCATGACCATATCTCAGATTTATTTTAGCAGCGCACTTGTGTAAAGTTGAAATCCCCAGCAAGGGATACTTTTGAGTATTTCTGTAATAAATAAAATACGAAACCTTAAGGTTTTAATAAACAGAAGGGACATTGACAATGAAATAAATATAACAATTTGACATACAATAACTAAGTAACGAACTCACTAAGTATGTAAGAACATTCACTGATTATCACTACATTCCTCCCATCTTTAAAATCTTACATAATCATCTAGAAAGGTTGGGGCTTTTCTTAATCGCACTGATCTTCTTGACTCACGATTTATCCGATGAGTCTCACAATTATTAAATTTATGAAGTAGAACAGGTCCAGGTGATGATAACCATGTAGAGAGAGATACTTCACTGTAAGAACGTAGTGGGTGGTTAAACATTCTCTCATGAGGAGTTGCATTGGTGGCAGTGAATCGAATGAAGCGCTCATTGGCTCAATTTCAGTCCATTTGACCGGAGTACAAGGTTAATGGTTTTTCCATATGATGCCGTTATATCATTCCACTTGTCCATTGCCTTGAGGATTGTAAGGAGTAGATCTACTAGTGGCAATACCTAAGTATGATTTGAATTCATGAGAAATAAAAGATGTACCATTGTCAGAGTGGATATAGGAGGGAATACTGAAGATGAAGAATACATTCTCTTAAATGATTGATTACTTTAAATGAAGCCGTGCTGATACATGGAAAAACAAAGGGAAACCTAAAGAAATCATCAACTACTGTTAGCATTTACGGTTTACACCTTTGACTCAAATGTCTTCTCGTGAATTCTTTACAAACTTCTTTTTAACTCTAAAAGGCTCTTGTTTTCTTCTTTAAAATGATTTGTAACTATGTACTTTTTACTAAAAACTTCCTATAGCAAATCTTTTTTCACCAATGTATGTTCTTTTAATAAACTCCTTTGACTTTTTTGCTCTTGGTTATTTTGAATGTTTGTAAGAAACCAGCTGGTCTGCTTTTATATGTAGGGTGGACAAAACTGCAATTAATTTAAAAATGATGAATGATATTTGCAGAATAATTACACTAAAATCTTACCATTAGTCTTTAATTTCAGTTTATTTATTTATTCTAACGATTTTTGTGTGTAAACAGTAAAAATTGTTTGCCTGCTAACACCAAAACTACAGCTCGCTCCAGGCTTGCCAAAATTTCAAAATATTTCGGAATATAATCAAAATGCAATTCGAATTAAGCAAGGAGGCTGTACCCTAATCCAAAATGTTTAAAATAAACCATTTACACAATAATATTTCTCTTTATATTCTATATATAATCTGCCCTCCATGACTATGGATAATTTTTCCTTTTAAACCAACAAGTTTTTTAGGAGTCATGGTTTCAACAATCACTTATAAACGTCTTAAAATAATCGAAAATCTAAAATATTTAACAAATGAACGATTCCAAAAACAACCTCACATGTCAAACGCTAACATCGCTAACAAATAAATAAATTACTATCGGCGTAAAAATGTTCGTTCTACGCCAGTGGCGTGACCTTGTCGTTACTAAGCGATGTATGTAAACAAGGTTAAGTTGAAAATAACTGGGATTATCTCATCGCCTTCTATTGTGACCCAAATGGATCTATTGTGGCTAGGTAAACAAGATATAATTTGGTTTCTGCGACTGTCATTGTTACAACTTCAGCTGCCTTCTTTTCTTGTAAAACGGAGATCATCTAAAATATTAAAATCCAAACCCTCCGATGGGCAAACATTTTAGTTCGGCTTTCCGCCCAGTTCAAAGCAAGCGTCATCTGTTGGCAGTATCCATTTAGCTCCAATGATACATGAGGTGATACTAGTAATAATTATTTATACAATATCACCAGTCACAAAAAACAACAACCTGAGATTCGAGAAAATCTTACATATTATATGAGAAGCCACAACCACAACTAAGTCCAATAAAAGTTAAATAATGGCTATTTTGTTCAATATTTTCATTGCTACCTTTCAACTTCAGTTTTACAAAATTTCTTTTGGTAAATGTCTAATAGAATATTCTCTTTTTGTTGTAGATATCCATCCAAGAAAGGCTTGACACTCTTAGCAACGGTTGTTCTTTAGCAAATATGATTCAGTATGACGACACTGATCATGATGGCAAACTAAGCATTAACGAATTTTATGTGGCGTTTAGTAAACTCTACAGTAAGTAATATCAAAATAAGACGAATATATATTCTGGTTATGATTTATGTAAAAATAAAAATAATAAATAAATAACTGGCGCAGTTAGTAGGATTCGACACAGTATTTTTGATGTAAACAAATACTTAATTGAAGTGGATAAAGGGGTTCTGTTATAAAAAATAGTTTTTGAACAATTAACTATTTAATTAAATTCATTCGCATTTTTAGTGAAAAATATCTTTAAAATGCGTTTTTGTGAGTTAATAAGAGTGATTATGAACTAATTAGACGCACAAGACTAGACCAAGGCAAGACACATATGAACTTAATTAATTATTCATCAACAAAAAAATCAAATTAAAAATGTTACTTAGCCCCTTTATCCACTTACCCCTTTAATTGAAACCATACAGAACCAGACCAGACTGGAAACAGACTAGTTTTATCTTGTTATTCATTTTAGGCGTCTACGTAGTGTCTCTGGATAAAGCCCTGGAGACCAATCACCTCTCAGCTCGAGTGGGTGACAATGTCGAAATAAAATGTGACGTTACGGGTTCGCCGGTGCCGCCTATCGTTTGGAAAAGAAACTACGCAGATTTGGCAACGCTAAACGAAGAAGACGTTCGAGTTTTTGGGGATGGGAGCTTGTATTTAACGAGGATACAGTTACAGCATGCAGGGAATTATACTTGTCATGCACAGAGGAATAAGGACATTGTTCAAACGCATATCCTTACAGTTCACAGTAAGTAAATGAATTTTAATGACCAATTGAGGTCTTACAGATGTTTTTAAATGTATTTGTAAATTGTAAATTTAAAAAATATTTACAGCCGTGCCTGAAGTTCATGTAACGCCAAGGTTACAGTCAAAACGTCCTGGGGAGGATGCTACAATGTTCTGTCATGTAGCAGGAGAACCGTTTCCAAAAGTTAGTATACTAATGTTGACTTACATCTGTTGACCAGGGTTCAAATACATATTCTTTATAGTTTTTAGTGCAGTAGTAATAGGATATGTGTTCGAATCTCTGTCCAGTACACCACAACTTTGAAATAAATCGATGAAGAATCTACTTTTTTTTTTACTAATCTTAGGTGGAATGGCTGAAGAACGACGAACATCTGAAGATGGACATTCCTAGAAAATATCAAATTATCGGAAATGGAACGTCTCTTAAAATAAGAAACATTGCATTTGCTGATACCGGAGCTTATATGTGCCAAGCAACAAGTATAGGTAAAAGAAAATCGCTTGCTGGATTAGAAATTTAAATATAAGTGACATTTTGACATTTACGCGGTATTTTACCTATTAAACATCAAAACTATAACGCCAGTTGTCTATAACGTTACTTCAAATGTCAAACATGTCACATTAAAAATCAAAATTACCAATTGCTGATATTTTAAATTCTTTGATATAAATTATATTCTTTTTACTTTCCTTTAGGTGGTCTTACAAGAGATATTAGTTCGCTGGTGGTTCAAGAACAACCAACACCAAGTAAGTTACTTCCTTTTTTTCTAGACGCAAATATTTTGCAAATATTTTTTTGTTATTTATGAATAGTGTAAAGAATAACGGGCCCAGAACAGTTCCCTATGGGACTTCGAAAATATTCGAACGAAGAGCAATGTTGCTTATGTCTGTATTAATGCTGTATCGGCCAAGATCACATTATCTAAATGACAAGTATAAGAAAGTATATCGAATATTTCTTGAATTTATTTTTGACATTATACAGGGTGTTCCGCATGAGTACCGTGGTATGCATCCCAAAATATAATGATTTAACCCAATTTACCTCTATACCAAGCAAAAGCAAAAAGTTGGACCATAAATTTCGAAAAAATTTATTATCTCTGCAACTGTTTAACTTAAAAATCTTCATGAGTCTTAATTTGGGGGTGAGTTAGAATTAATTGAAATATTTTAAGGGATGGTTTTTGGGTAACTACCTGTTATATAATTTCTACCTTTATAACATCTCTCGTATTGTTGACTACTTTTTAATATATTCTTGTATTAGTTTATATGTCAGTAGTTGTCAACATAAATTTTGTTACGTTTGAATTTAGTGAATAAAACCCTACAGTTTTAAAGGTTTTCATTGCGCTACCCTTATAACTAACTATACAGAACTTTTTTGTCATCTCGGTGTCTTCTTAGTCTTTGGGTAGCCCTATTTAATATTGTTACACAGCACCCTGCAGTAGTCTGCGGCTGGTTTTAGGTTACACAGGCATTCTTTCTAGACGACCGTGTTTAGAACGACAATACCGGTACTGTAAAAAGCTTGAAGAACGAGGAGAGCTAATTGAAGATTAGCGACCACTATTAAGCCAGAGGATGACGAAGACGGAATCATCCTTGATATGTTCACTGTTCCAGTCGGAAGCCTATTATTTGGGACACATCGTTTCCGCAGAAGGAATCAAAACTGAATCGGAGAAAATTGCAGCTGTCAGAGATTGGCCGAAACCAAGAGACAAAAGAGAAATTAGAAGTTTACTTGGACTGTGCTCATATTACCGAAAATTCGTTTAAGACTTTGGCCAAATTTCTAAACCCCTTCATCGACTAACTGAAAACAGTAGTCTACTTGACTGGACGCCGGATTGCCAAAATGCCTTCACCGAGTTAAAAAAGCGATTGACCATGGCACTCATCCTAGCCTACCCTCGAGAAAAAGGACAATTTATTTTGGACTGCGACGCATCCCAAGAACAAGAGGGGGAAGAGAAAGTAATTGCATACTTTAGACCTTGGGAAAAGAAGAAATATTGCTTCACCAGGAAAAACCTATTAGCTATTGTCAAAGCCCTTGAACATTTCTATACTTACCTTTTTAACAGAAGGTTTATCATTAGAAATGACCATAGTGCCTTGCAGTGGCTGATGAATTTTAAAAAACCTGAAGGGCAAGTTGCTAGATGGATAGAAAGATTGCAACAATACAACTTCGAGATAGTGCATCGAAGGGGACGTCTCCATAGCAACACAGACATTATTAGGTTAGAATTGACATGCATGCCACAGGGACACATTTTGAGAGAGGCGATCCAGTATGGCTGTATCATCCCAAGCGCCGAAAAGGACTTTGTAAGAAACTGCAATGGAACTAGGAAGGCCCCACACCGTCTTCAAAAAAATTAACGACCTGATCTACCGCATTCAGTTGTCAGCGGGAAGTAAACCCAAGGTAGTTCACGTTGAAAAGCTAGCGCCATATCGTGGTCCCGATCCTCCCCGTTGGCTCCAACCAGGTCCCAGTAATCAAGTTATTCGGGGCGAATAACTAGAGAGGAGGAAGCAATGTTACACAGCACCCTGTAGTAGCCTGTGGCTGGTATAGGAAACGAACAAATAAAAACAGAAGTGGAATGTTACTCATCGCCCTATAGTGCGCTGCGGTCGTAATAAGTAAAAGTACAAGTAAAAGAAGATAGAATAGTCCAGAAATGTTTGGAAATGTCATTCCACGTCAAGGAAAAGTCTAGACATTTCGAGAAGGTTCGAGAAAGTGGACGCAAGCTATATATGCAGTGATTCTGACATCAGTTTTTCAGTTTTATGATAGACGTTACATGTTAATGTTATCAGTTGTATCGTTATTGTAAAAGTTGAGTTGAAATAAATTGAGATACCAAAAACCTGCGTAACAATATATTTATATCTTCTCTTTGGTGATTTTTTTTTTTCAGAATGAAAAAATCCAAACTGTTTGGAATCTTATTTGTGTCAGAATATTGGTAATGTTCGTCTACACTCTGCTACACTTGGTGCAATTCTTTTCCTTTAACTGTGGGTAATCTTGAACCCCAGATAGTATTTTTGAAGTTGTATTCTCAGCCAATTATAAATTTATTACCTAGTTTTTTACATTAAAATATTTTTATTTTTTTCTGGTTATGTCTTGGTGGACAATAGACTGGCAGCTATTGTAATTTTATTCCCCTTAGTGTTAATGGTACTTATGGTTTTTTGTTGATTGGTATCTACCTCATAGTTGGAAATGTTATTTTTACTAACTAAATCACTTCCTTCTCTTGCTGCATTTAATGTATGGCTAGTGTGATAGTAGTTATATTTTCTGAATTTAATGTAAGACTCCGTTGTAAGGTGGGTCCAAGAAAACTTGGGTATCAGTTTGTTTTTGGAGAATACCATTGGCATTCCAAGTGGATATTCCAATACAACTAGCTTCAAACAACGGGTTTTCACCAGACATGGTAGATAATAACATGATCAATAGGGTTTTAATTAGGAATACATCTAATAACGATATAAAAGATCTCTACCTTATTTTGGTTGTATCTTCTCAACTGATATAACTAAAATATTACAGAATAACGTCGATAACCTTAAAATTTATTTTAAACCTCAAAACACTATTAAATCATTACTTTCAAAAACAAAAGACAAGATTGACAAGTTGTCTTGAAGTGGTATTTACAAATTACAATGTAACCTTTGTGAAGATACATCGGTAGAACCATTAGATCCCTAGAGACACGGATTAAGGAACACCTCTATAGATCTGCAAATCCAACTTTGGCCATCACATTAAATTTAATAACTATAGCTTCTCCCCTACGTCAAACAGCAAAATTTTACACAGTGTTCCAGTCAACAATTTTAAGAAAATGGACCTACTGGAGGATCTGGAGATCCTTCCATGAGATGATCTTGAATTCTGGTAATTGTCTTAATACTCAAATTCACTTAAATTTTAATTATAACCCGTTATTTAATACTCTTTGGGAATCACAACAACTAAATTAAAAAAACCACTTAAATCCATTCAATTCGTTTTATTCATCTTAATTTTAATTTTAGTCCAGTAATAATCACATCCTTTACACTTTTAGACATTTCTACTTATAATTGTCTCTTAACACTGTCAAACTTTACTTGTTATTAACTTAAGTTTAATTTTATAGGTACTGTTATTTCAAACTGATATTCAATCATTTTATTCCACTTTGGAATTTAATTCTTCAAAATATTTTATTTTATTTTAAGCTGCTTACCAATTATTCAAATTTATTTGTAGATATTTTTTATTTCTCCAAGTCCTCAGCGAAAGCACAGTCTGCTGTTTCTACTGCCTCCATGTTTCTGTAGCCTACTTAAAGTTTCTTTGTTTTTCTTTTTATTTTTTTTAACACTATATTGAATAGTGTTTGTAAGGCTAAGTAAACCACATTGTCGTAAACCTTCTTTGGTCAAAAATTATTCTAGCGTATATTGCCAATATATGAAATGGTCAAAAATTTCAATCTTGTTAATAGCTCAACGGTTGAGCATGGGAATCAATCGTGTAATTTCACAATCTGGCAACTTTTATATTCAATTTAAATTGTTCAGACCAAAGGCGGCTTTTCAGTGAGAACAGAGCAGTGAGGTAATTGTTCATTGGTTTTAGGTGTGCGTCGGAAAATCACGTTTAGAAATTACTTGCAATTTAAATCCTGTTAGTATACAAAAGATCAAAATATATCTATGCAATAATTAGAATGTTTGTTACGTATTTATCCTCTGTAACTCAATAAAGTATTTTGTTTTTGTAGAATTTTCGATTAAAAGACTTCGCAAACAGCAAGTTCGTATTCGTTTGCATTGATTATTCGTATTTTTTTGTATTCTATGGTAACGTTTTGCTGTTTTACATTTTCCAACCTACTTAATATTCTTCGGACTCATCTCCGTTGTGCTTTCGGCACAGTAAATACCAGTGTGATGTTTTTTCGTTAAAATTTTGTCATCCGAATTCCGGCCATGCCAGAGATGAAAAAAAAAATCAATCAATCAATGAACTTATCGCATACAAATAAGTTGGCAGCGTTTCTTCACTACAGAGCGATAGATTTATAGATGCTTATTCTTGTGAAACAATTTTAAATTTAAATATTTTATTAATATAGTGGGTGGTAATTTGAAAGCGAACATAATTTAATATTTCTTTAACTTATGAGACTATAATAATTTGGAGAAAGGGGTCAAATTACATATCACGGTGGACAACTGTTTAGGTATTCGTTGTATTACATTCAACCCTCTTACCCACAGGGAACCTACTCCTAAAATTTTAAATAGCTTGCTGGGGTCATGTCAATATACAGTATTGTCGCTTTCAACGCTTGGAAAAAAATCTGAAACAAAAAAAAAGCAAATGTATTAGACGGAGGAAAAGTAAGACTTAGACTAAAAAAGGCACTTCCTTCAGTATGCAGTTTTATTTTCCATGACGCAATACTGTCACTTATAACGTTTTGAAGATAGCTTAAACTGGAACAAAATAAAAAAATTAATGTGGATGTTATCTAATAAAATAATATCTATCTTAATTTTTTACACTTTTGCTTATAAAAGCCTAAAAAAGAACAAGTATGGTAGATCACTGAAATGAGTGTGAAAAAGTTTAACAAAAAAAATTATAGTATTATCTGGAATATGTAAAGGGCCCATTGTGTATCCTCCTAAGCTAATAGGCATTTCCTAGTTCGTGAGATAGCCTACAGATTTAATGTAGTTGACAACGTCGCCAAGAGGTGCTTCTCTTATATCGGCCTGTGTCTGTGTCTGTGTCTCGCTGAACACAAATCTTATATTAATTAATTAATATTAAATAAGAGCGTCAGGCAATCGTAGAGGATATGCTCGATGATAATAATAAATAATAATAATAATGTACCTTTATTTTGAATCGTAATATACATTACATGAATATATATAGAGGCGAAGTCGAATCCGCTTAACCTCTAAACAGTAACTTGTAATCAAAGATAATGCCAAAATTTTGGCACTACTAACAACTCTCAAAGGTTGGTTTTCGATGACCAGTTTGATATTTTTTAAACAACTTGCATTTGCAGTTTTTAGATAGAAGAACATTGCAGAGCACTATTTAGTTTTAGATTGTAAGCCTTGGCAACTTCGTTAAAGTTTCTGTTTATGTAGTCACAAACACTAGTGCAGTTTTTAGATCAAATGAGCAGTATAGTTGAGTGTCATCGGCAAAAGTTTGAATTTTAACGTAATTTACAAATGAATTTATACAAGCAGTGTAAATTAGAAAAAGCAAGGGACTCAGTACAGAGCCTTGAGGAACTCCAGAAGTTACAGATGAAAAATTTGATGAACTATTATCTAGAACTACTTTTTGATGTCGAATACTTAGGTAAAATTTAAAGAATCTCAAGGAAGTATTATCAAAACCATAATAGTTTAGTTTATCGCACAATAAGTAGTGGTCAAGACTATCAAATGCTTTCGAAAAGTCTAATTGTGTTAATGCTGCAGTCATCCATCAAGGGATTTTAATATGTGAGTAGGTAATGGGCCACTCCACACCACTCGACCACTCCACTTTTTACCAGCCATTTTTCGGTGTTTTTTCGACATTTTTCGACGTTTTTTGACGTTTTTCAACCTTTGCGCATGATATGAGAATGTTTTTCTTAGAATAAGATTTATAATAAAATCAAAAGCACTAAAAACGTATAAAAACGTTAAAAAACGTTGAAAAACGTTTAAAAACGTTTAAAAACGTTTAAAAACGTTTAAAAACGTTTAAAAACGTTAAAAAACGTCGAAAAACGGCTGGTAAAAAGTGGAGTGGTGGGGAGCTCCCAAGTGGCCCATTAGCTACATGATCCAGGAATTTTTTTCTTGGAATAAGATTTAAAATAAAAACAAACGCACTAAAAATGTAGAAAAACGTTAAAAAACGTTAAAAAACGTTAAAAAAACGTTAAAAAACGTTAAAAAACGTTAAAAAACGTTAAAAAACGTTAAAAAACGTTAAAAAACGTTAAAAAACGTTAAAAAACGTTAAAAAACGTTAAAAAACGTTAAAAAACGTTAAAAAACGTTAAAAACGTTAAAAAAAACCGTTAAAAAACGTTAAAAAACGTCAAAAAACGTTAAAAAACGTTAACAAAAACGTTAAAAAACGTTAAAAAAACGTTAAAAAAACGTTAAAAAACGTTAAAAAACGTTAAAAAACGTTAAAAAACGTTAAAAAACGTTAAAAAACGTTAAAAAACGTTAAAAAACGTTAAAAAACGTTAAAAAACGTTAAAAAACGTTAAAAACGTTAAAAACGTTTTTAAAAAACGTTAAAAAAAAACGTTAAAAAAACGTTAAAAAACGTAGATCACTAAAACTTTCGGGATTTAGAATTTTAGGTAAAGGTTTCAATAAAGCAAATGTCCAAATATCAGGGAAATAACCACGTTCTAAACAACAATTTACGATATGTGTCAGAAATGGTACAATTACATTTAGACAAAATTGTAGCATTTTAGCGGATATATCATCACTACCAACTGCATTTGATTTGAGATTTATAAAAATTTGTCTTATTTCATCAACAGTAGCAAGACAAAAAGAAAAACGTATATCATATTTAAATTTAAAATATTTGGCATTAGAAAATATCTCATCCGAATATTTGAACAATTTTCGAAAAATTATTCGTTGAAAATATGATTTAAAAAAAGTTAATTTGAAAAATTTTGATAGATCCCTTAAAAATGTGTAGGACCAACGTGGTATTTGAATAACGTTCTTGTAATCGACTGTCACTACATTATTTAGATTAGATTCGAAGAAAGGAGTTAAATAATATTTGTCCTTGTCCACAGTGACCTTTTCATATCTAAAATTGCCATATATTATTTCTCATTTGAGTATTTTTCTTTAACAAAATCGGACCGAACAGATATTTGCGCCGTGGATCACCTTGTATTCTAATCCTGTAATAATTAGAATCCGCCTTCCATGTATATAGCGTAATTAAACGGATTCCGTATGCGGATATCGAGGACGAGGTAAAAAGGTCTTCTGTGCTTGATTGCAGGTTCTCCTAACGAGGAACGTCGATTTTTTGCATTCCATGATTGGGGGGTGTCCATCTATGAACCGTCGACGTGCAGGCTGTACCACAGAATCCAGTCCACGGATATTATACCAGGAACGCAGGTAGATATGAATTTGGTACATATTTGCCTTGACAATGTCAACGAATTACCTATCCTAGAAGCGCTTTTCGACGAGTATTCGTATGTAAATTAATATTAACGTAAATCGAGGGGTAAACCGCTAAATAAATGTTGTACACTAGTATACATTTTACCCCAAATAGTACGAAAATGCTACATAATTGTAGATAAATATATTTCAATTCAATACGTTAAACAGCAACCAATATAGTAAGAATATGAAAAATAAATTTAAACATACCAGTGTTATTTAGCAAAATATTTTCCATTACTAATGAAACTCCCTGTATATTATCTTTGATTTCATCTTAGGAATATGTCTGTGGAGACAAATCGGTAAAATGCGAATGGGGACGTGCCATAAACGTGGCGAATCGTTACGTGTACGCCAGCCAGCCAACCAGAGATAGAATCCTCATCATATCCAAAGTCCAGATGGTCGTTGTGGACGTGGTCAGCACCGATAAGTACCCTGTGGAACTCCATCACGTCGCGCATTTGGATCAAGTGTGGGTGTTGAATTGGAGATCTGAAAACAATACCGGAATTAAGACTATACAGGTAATATAAGTAATAATTATTAACTAAAATGAATATTATTATGGTGTAAGCTAAGTATTGTGCCTATGTTAAATAAGAAGTATCTTACCAAAATCTATTGTTATGACGTTTAATTTATATTTTGTAAAATAAAAGTAATTAATAATTAATTAAAAAAAATAATAGTACAATAAAATTTCTAAACAAAGATGGCATAACTTATGGTATTCGAAAGTTATTGTTGTGTAATTATTATTATGTATTTTAGGTAATAAGAGATGCTGGTCAGAAGAGAAAACATCACACTGTACATCCTGAACCCATTGACGGACAATTTGACTTGGTCACCGGTTTGTTTATCCCTTCTCCACTACAAGTAAGTTAATAATTCTAATACACAATTTTAAATGTTGAAAGTGTTCAAAATGATTTACTCATGTAATATAATGCAGTATTTAAGAAAAATCAGTCCCTACCACTTTACAGCTCGTAATTGTCCTTTCATAGTTAAATGAACAGGTTTGCCAGTCGCTAAGTAAAATAAGGAAAACATAAAAACATATAAACATATATAAAACGTATAAAAACATATAAAAACATATAAAAACATATAAAAACATATAAAAACATATAAAAACATATAAAAACATATAAAAACATATAAAAACATATAAAAACATATAAAAACATATAAAAACATATAAAAACATATAAAAACATATAAAAACATATAAAAACATATAAAAACATATAAAAACATATAAAAACATATAAAAACATATAAAAACATATAAAAACATATAAAAACATATAAAAACATATAAAAACATATAAAAACATATAAAAACATATAAAAACATATAAAAACATATAAAAACATATAAAAACATATAAAAACATATAAAAACATATAAAAACATATAAAAACATATAAAAACATATAAAAACATATAAAAACATATAAAAACATATAAAAACATATAAAAACATATAAAAACATATAAAAACATATAAAAACATATAAAAACATAAAAACATATAAAAACATAAAAACATATAAAAACATATAAAAACATATAAAAACATATAAAAACATATAAAAACATATAAAAACATATAAAAACATATAAAAACATATAAAAACATATAAAAACATATAAAAACATATAAAAACATATAAAAACATATAAAAACATATAAAAACATATAAAAACATATAAAAACATATAAAAACATATAAAAACATATAAAAACATATAAAAACATATAAAAACATATAAAAACATATAAAAACATATAAAAACATATAAAAACATATAAAAACATATAAAAACATATAAAAACATATAAAAACATATAAAAACATATAAAAACATATAAAAACATATTAAAACATAAAAACATATAAAAACATATAAAAACTATAAAAACATATAAAAACATATAAAAACATATAAAAACATATAAAAACATATAAAAACATATAAAAACATATAAAAACATATAAAAACATATAAAAACATATAAAAACATATAAAAACATATAAAAACATATAAAAACATATAAAAACATATAAAAACATATAAAAACATATAAAAACATATAAAAACATATAAAAACATATAAAAACATATAAAAACATATAAAAACATATAAAAACATATAAAAACATATAAAAACATATAAAAACATATAAAAACATATAAAAACATATAAAAACATATAAAAACATATAAAAACATATAAAAACATATAAAAACATATAAAAACATATAAAAACATATAAAAACATATAAAAACATATAAAAACATATAAAAACATATAAAAACATATAAAAACATATAAAAACATAAAAACATATAAAAACAAACATTTTAATTAAATCTTCACAATCTTTATCGAATTAGTCTTTTCGGCTATTCCTTTTGGTGTATGAAACAACGGTATTTTTTAATTTTTTATTATCTAGCATAGGCATCTAATTAGGTGTAAAAATATCTGACTTGCAAACAAGAAAAATTACGAATTCTTAGGAAAAAAATGTAAAAATAAAGAAAAAAATAAAATTACACTTTTAGCCCAACAAAAACCTCCATAAACCCTATCCTTTCGATTCCGAAATGCGACAAGATCCCTTCCAAGATGGCCGTCTAATCTCTAATCTCTAATCTCGACGTTGTATTGCAGGAACTGTCCCACTACAGCTTCAAGTACGGCTACGTGACGCACACTAATCAGAGGGGATTGTACAAATTAGATTTGGTTAATCTGAGATACACCAGATCGGTGGATCTTACGCCTTACAACTGTGTACCCACTCAAGTTAGATTTTCCTCCTTATGTAAGTAGTTAAGTTGATGGGGGAAAAGCGGGCGGCGTGTACGGGGGCAGCGCGAGATGTTTTGCTAATTTGAATTAGCGCGGATTATGAAGTTTACGATTTGTTGAATTGAGTTAGGGGTGGTTTTTGGGTTTGGAAACTAAAGGGGATTTATTAAGTTAAAACGTTCATTATATGGGGACGAGGGTGCAGTAAATGTGATACGTAAACGGATGGTGATATCGCTGGTTGGCGTTGATAGCGGCACAAATAGGAAAATATAAATTTTATGGAAAAGGCTTTTTAAATATTCATTTACGTTACCAAAGCTAGATGGCGTAACCGAATTTTAAATTAGAAAATGTTTATTATATATAAAATTTATCGGGTGTAGGTCTTCTAAAAATATGATTGTTGGAATTAACAAAAACTACCGAATATTTATGCCTCGAATAATTTCCTTCAATCTTTTCATATAATAGGTGGGGGAAAATTTGTTATTAAGAAAAATTTATCAGTTTTGAAAACTATAAAAAGTATAACTTCTTTACATTACAGGCCATCCTTATTAACTGATTATTTTTTAGATGGTATGGTCATAATGCAGTGTTTGGAGCCAGTAACGAATAGACCAACGGGTCAACTAATTTTGGATTACCTAACTGATAGCGTGATCGGGGTCAAACCCAATTTACCCGGGGTACCCTATATTTCACCAGATTCCAGAAAATTAGTCACCTTGGATAAAACTACAAATGGAGCTACCCTCATAGTTCAAGAGATTACTGGTAAGTTAAAAATCTGTAATAAACATTTTTGTAATAAGCTTAGTTTCTTACGAGAGTTTTGCAGAAGAAAATCCAATAGAGTTGAGTCTATTAACCTAGCAGGTCTTATCTATTTAAAAGGTTTCGTCTAGATTAATTGAAATTAGTTTGGAATTATTAGAAATTAAATCCTGTATTGGTAATTCCTTAAATTCACCATTTAGCACTTACTCCCATAATAGTAAATACTGTATTATTATTGTTGTTTTATTGTTTCAGCTAATGGACTGAACTTTAATTTTGATGTCAAAACTACACTGAACATTTCTGACATCAATTTTTATCCCAGCCAATCCACGCATAGTTACGATATTTACGCTTCAGCACAGGATAAGGAGGGCATATTATTCTTAAATTTACTCACAGGTAACTATTTTATATACAAACCTTCCGAATTCATAACGATTTATCAGTAATTAGGCAACCAGTATTACAGAACAGGCAGGTGTATGTTGTATTGCATATATTGGCGATTCGAACTAAGTGTAACGTAGGACATTTTTGAAAGATAATGTATTCTTTCCAGTTTTGCCAACGAGAATTTCACTATTTTTAGATGATTTTTAACCCTTGTAGTAATAGAAAGACCTTTTATTAATTTTCTGAATTTGTGTCTATCAATATGTAATAATACTCCATATTTATTTAGGGATATTTTATGAAAAGGCATTAATATGTTATGATTTTTAAAAAACAATTAAAAAGACTGACGTGCTGGTTTAAAAGATAATTTTATATGATTTGTTTTATTTTTCTTTTTCATCTGTTTCTCGCGGAAATTGATTTTGTTCTTGCTTGCTTGGAGGTTCCAATAGTTCTCTCGTTGAAAATGTCTCTTCAAGTCTGAGAGTGTGTCTTGGATTGGTTTAAAGAAATGGTATGGTATGGACTTATTTGGCGTGGATCGATTACTTTGATTAATCAATTATTTCGATTAATCGATTATTTAGATTAATTAATTATTTAGATTTATCGATTAATTTCAATTAATCGATTAATTGAATATTATCGATTATTTTAAATAATCGATTATTTATTATGATATTGATATCTTTGAAGGAACATTAAGATTTTATTAGTAAAATCACTGCAGTACAATTTAAATTATGTTTCAGGAAAAGTTGAAATGATAACAGGAGTCGGCAGGGCCGTACCGCTGCAGCTCACAAAATGGAATAACCCAAATAGACCCATCAGTGGATCAGGTAACCCATTTTTTATTCAACAATTAAGGATTTATTAGAAAAGTATTCAGATCTGGGGAAATCTTACATAATATCAAGCTTATTGATCATTGACATTTGACAATAGCGGACTTTACAAATAGATGGAGTAACTAGGCTATCCGGTTTAATAGTATATAATCCTTGGATCTGATATACGAATAAAGTATTCCCTCTATCCTATTCCAAGGATTTCAGCGTTGCCAAGTGCTGCAAAAATCCTTAAATCGAACTATTCTCTATTGTGGTATTCAAGAAATTTTGTTTTCAGGTCTCTTTGGTCAATACATGGTGACGCCGGCCAATGAAGCTCTCTTCGTAATAAACGGCAGATCAAGAACTGTCAATTGCGAAATCGGCGCCGTATCGCATCCTAGCCAAGTGGTCTGGACGACGTTGAAGTTTCATTAGTCAAAATTTGCTTGTGTCGCAGAAAAGGCGCGAAAATTCCAAAAGCGTGGCGATATTTTAATTTTCCCCAAAATAAATCATTAAGGCTGGAGCTGGAGCAATGCCTCTTAAACAAGACGAATTATTTCGTAACAAAATTTTCTATACAGACATTATGCCTTTTCGAAAACGTCCGTTTTTTACGAACATACAGGATGACAGAAAAGTGTGGAGCAAATTTATTATTTCGAATCAGAAATTTTTGTTATGACGTATAGAATCTGAAGGACCATATTACATTTTCAATTCATCAAAATTATTTGGTTCAAAACATAAAATTATTAACTTTTATATGTTTACATAAAATAAGTTAAGAAATAATAATTGCATTCCACAGTTTTTTAATATACTGCATAAAAGGCTCATTTTAAAGGGTTAGCATTTTTTTGCCAGCTTGAGACAAACTGTAAAATATATCTGATGAAATACGCTTTACTTTTTTAAGTTATGTCCAAAAAATGCTATATTTTTACGGATTCAAAAATCAATAAAAATTACCTACAAAAAATTTGTTAAATGGACCTGTGATAAAGTTTTATAGGTTTTTATTAAGGGACGTATATACTCGTTAGGACTTTAATACTCGACAGGACGTATATACTCGTTAGGAAGAATATACTTGCCAGGACATATTTATAATTCAGGACGTATATGTTCGTCAAGACGTATATGTTCATCAAGACGTATATTTTCGTAATAACTATTTGATTTAGGATCTATAAAATTCACACGTAAATAGTAATACTTTTTTGTTCATATATTTGAAATAAATAATATTTATTCTCCTTGTTTAATGTTGAAACGTGTATTCCCGTCTTAAAGATTTAGTTACTTGTTACTGGACGAATAAATACGTTGCGCATTTTTTGGACATCACTTCAAGTACTTTTTTTAATTAAAATTGCCTATCAAATACAGAAGCGAATTTAGGTAATACTCAAACATTTTTTTAATTTTTATCTAATTTTAAAAGTTTCAATCAACTTTCCTAAATCCGCTTCTGACAGTACATCAGATTGAAAACATGACTGTGTAACTTGTTAATGTACTATATCATTATAAATAAAAAAATACATAGTGTCCAAAAAAAAAACTCGTAGATCAATGAGAGTATATTTTATAAAAATTGTAGGTAAAGACGAGTTGGCCCAAGTACATATTATCAATATTTTGGGATATTAAGCAGCACCGTCCGTAACAAATGGATTAGTCTCTGCGTTCCATCTCAAATAATAAAAACATAAAGGAAAAGGTAAGAATTTTGAAAAAAATTAGTTAAAAGACCACGCTACGTATATACACGTCACGACGTATTTACTCGTCGGAACGAATATACTCGTCGGGACGTATATACTCGTCGGGACGTTTATACTCCTCATGACGTATATACTCGTCGGGACGTGTATATTCGTCATGACGTATATACTCGTTTTGGCGTAAATAAACGTCATAACACATAAACTCATAGGCACGTATATACTTATAAGAACGTATTGACTCTTCTCGACGTATCTAATCGTCATGATGATATGTTAAGCGTATATATTCGTCAGGACGTATAAACACGTCATGACGTAAATAAACGTCACGATATATTAATTCGCAGCTAGGTATACACTCAGAAGAACGTATATATACATCATGTAATTACTCGTCAAAACGTATATACTCGTCATGACGTATATATTCGTAATGGCGTATATACACGTCACATCGTAAATAAACGTCAAAACGTAAATACTTATAAGAACGTATTGACTTGTCGACGTATTTAATCGTCATGACGTATATACTGGGCGTATATGTTCGTCAGGACGTATAAACACGTCACAACGTAAATGAACGTCACGATGTAATAATTCGCAGATACGTATATACTCAGATAAACGTTTATATATGTCATGTCGTATTTACTCGTCGGGACGTATATACTCGACTTGGCGTATTTATTCGTCAGGCAGTGGAAGAAAGGACAGAAGCAGAAGAAATATTAAGAATTTATTTTTTCTAATTTTTTATTTTTTTCGTTTTGCTAAATCATATTTAGAAAAGTCAAATTATAACAAAAAATTATCTTAGTCAAATATTTAAAATAAGGGAGGGATTCTTAGGGTTTGGTGGTATTCTTCAAAACATCACTTTTTTCCACCTTTTTTCCATAGATGATTTATTATATTTTAAATAAGTGAACCTTGAATTATGATTTTTTGTCATTGATTTCAACTTCTAAATCCCGAAAGAAGAGTTTCCATATCAATACGATCTGAACGTGTATACTCGTCAAGACGTATATACTTGTCAAGACGTATATACTTGTCAAGACGTATATACTTGTCAAGACATATATGCTGGTAATAACGTAACTTCTCGTCAGGGAGTATTTATTTGTTAAGAAAGACTTATTTATTTGTCAGGATTTATAACTGGCCAAATTTATATGGTACTCTAGAGATCTATAATATCTACCGTTGCTGATGAGTCACCGTCAATGTGGGTGCAGATATACTTTTCATACTATGGCGCCTCCCAAAAATATTTGATTAAAACATTTTTAACAATTTGTTTCAATTTAATCAGGCTATCAACTCGGATGCTAATGCAGTTGATACGGATGGTAACAGTAAACCAGTAGGTATCTACAGGGAGATCTAAATTATTTGAAAAAAAAATCAAATTTATTAAAATTAATATAACATTTTTTAATTAATAAATCAATCAGTAAACTCATAAAGATATTTATGAAAAATTTAGAATGACATCGTACTTTAAAAAATAATATTTCTCGCAATATTTAAATTTTTTCGAAAACTTTTGATCGACCCTGTACCATATATTTGTATGATATCCAAAACTGTATTATTTGAAATATTTTAAGACACACATTTATTTTTTAGCAATCGTATATGTAGTTTTGTGATAAAAATTATATTTTATAATAAAGGGAATTTATCCTTATTATCAGAAGCTGCTGTTTTATCAGTTTCACACGGTAAGTGGTCGTAGAATGTGTTATAACTTAGATGTGGCAAACAGTACAATTATTACATTAAAAATTAGTCAAATTGAATCATTTTTACAAGGTATTAAATCAGAGAAAATTTGCAACCTTTTACAAAATAGTAGTAAATGTTAAATCAACGTATATATTCGTCAGAACGTATATATACGTCACAACGTATTTACTCGTCGGGACGTATATACTCGTAAGAACGTATATTCTCGTCAGAGCGTATATATACGTCAAAACGTATTTACTCATCGAGGCGTATATACTCACTGATCCATATAAAAAATGTGCATGCCTAAAGCTTATACACATTTTATGACCACTCACTCACTTAGATAGACTTTGTTGTTTGTCAAGGGGTAGCTATGAAGCTCATTTTTCATTGGTGATAATATAATAAAGATTTACGATTAAATTTGTCAAAATATTTAAACTTTGACAAGTTGTGTTATCAAATGTATATAATAAAAGAATGTATGGCTAGTGGATATATGATTGTAGATCGTTTTGAATGTTTAATCAATCTTATTCAAGTCAAATAAACCTATTTTTATTTTAAAAATCTGTAATGTTAAATTTATTTTGATCGATATTTTTAACATTTGACGGGTTTGCATCTTTTTTTATATACTGACGTTTTTAACATTTTTTGGATGTCTCATAATTAACGGTTTTCAACGTTCCAAACATTTTTTAACGTTTTTAAACATTTTCCATGGGCTCAACTTTTTTATTGTTCCAGATGTTTGGAACATTTTTTGTCGCTATTAATGTTTTTTGACGTTTTTCTTATACACTATGAATTTTTTTGTTTCTGTTCGTCATTTTCAAACATCTTTCAACGTTATCTACATTCCTGAATTTCGTTTGTAAACGTTTTTCAATGTTTTCCAATGTTTTTCGGTGTTTTCATATTTAATACGAGATTTTTACTATTTTAAATATTGATCAATATTCCTAATGTTTTAGATGTTTACAATTTCCTTACTACGCCACGTGCTTCTGAACATTTTCAATGCCATAAACATTTTTTCACTTCATCACTTATTCATATTTTTAAACATCTTTCAACGCTAAATACATTTAGGAATTTTGTTTCAATGTTTTTGAACATTTTCAACACTTTCAATCTTCTTTAACAAAATCAACCATTTAGTCGTTTTTTAACCTTTACTTTCTTTTTCTACAATGTCTTTTGACATGATCCAAGTTTTTACGTATTTTAACATCATCGATGTTTCTTTTTGTTTAGATACTGACGGTTTTCAACATTTTCTGCATGTGTCATATCTAAAGTTTTTCAACGTTTTCAAACATTTTTAAGATTTTCAACCTTTGCTATCATTTTCTTCAATGTTTTTTAACTCTTTTGGCATGATCCAGGTTTCTTACATTTTTTTAATATTACCGATGTTTCTCTTTATTTAGATACTGACGGTTTTCAACATTTTCTTCATGTGTCATATCGTAACGTTTTTTAATGTTTTCAAACATTTTTTTACAATTTTTCACGTTTTCAAACATTTTTAAGATGTTTTTATATTTTTTAACATTAACGATGTTTCTCTTCGTTTAGATATTAACGGGCTTCAACATTTTGTACATGTGTCATATTTAACGTTTTTCAACGTTTTCAAATTTTTTTTTTTAAGATTTTCAACGTTTTCAAACATTTTTTAAGATGTTCAACGTTTTTCAACTTTTTCTATATCCTCAACATTCTTCAACTATTTTATTGTTTCAGATGTTTGGAACTTTTTTCGTCGCTATCGTTGTTTTTTGACCGTTTTTCCTATTTCAACGTTTTTTGACGTGTAGTAAATGTGTCAAAATTTCTTAGGTTTGTAACATTTTCGATATGTTTATAAGTGTTTTTCAATGTTTTTCTACATGTTTTTGTATGTTATACGAGATTTTTAATATTTTCAATATTATCGATACTATCAACATTCCA